TCTCCTCTCCTCTCCTCTCCTCTCCTCACTATCTCTTCTCCCTTATCCTTTCCTCACTGTTTCCTTTTCTCCTCTCCTCTCCTCTCCTCTCCTCACTATCTCTTCTCCCTTATCCTTTCCTCACTGTTTCATTTTCTCCTCTCCTCTCCTCCCTTATCCTTTCCTCACTGTTTCCTTTCCTTCTCATTTTCTATTCACTTCTCCTCACTGTCTCCTCTCCCTTATCCTTTCCTCAGTGTCTATTCTCTTCTCCTCATTGTCTCCTCTCCCTTATCCTTTCCTCAGTGTTTCCTTTCCCCCTCACGGTTTCTTCTCACCTAACTGTCTCTTCTCTCCTCGCTCCTTCCTCTCTCTTCTCTTTACGTCTTCTCTTCATTGTCTCCTCTTCTCTCATGGAGTAGAGAAGTTGATCGAGGGTTTGAAGTCTCCAGAGCCCTCTTCCTCCCTGATCCTCCCTGACCTTCCCTTGAATGACCCCTTCAGCCCTGCAGACTGTAGTCATGGTAATCAGACAATTATCTGTTTGTTGTTGTTTTTTTGCTTAATAAACCCACAACCGATACATAGCCTGGCCTTCAATGGCCTCCGTTGGTCTTTTAATGTTGATTGTTTTCTCAATTCAGCTCAGAGCAATACCTGGAACTCCTGGATGTGCCTTTTTATGACTACTCCTTCCTGTCTGTCCTGTACTTATATCTCCACTGCGGTCTCATCTCTCTTGCCTGTTTAGTTGTTGTAAACTTTGTCTTCATCAGACATCAGTATATCTTTAAAGGATCTGGTTTAGAGAGTGCTGCTTCATGCATGGAGTGAATTGATGTCACCATGGCCATCTATCTCACCTTTACCTTTGTTACACAAAGCATCATATTCATCTGTTTTCTCTTTTTTTTTTTTTCTTGGCTGCGTTGTTTCGGTTCGCCTGATTTTTTTTTTTTTTTTTCTGCAGCTGGGATGGATTCTCTGATCCCTGGTCTGGATCCTCTACAGACTGATCCTGGGTCAGCTGCAATACCAGGTCAGCAGTTCTGTAAATATGCTCCTATTCTTTATCATACAGCGGCTCACTGAAGCATTGAATCTGCTGACATTAGGCTGGGAAAATCTGCAGGGTGTTCTGGATGGCATAATTACTGCCAGCTATGAACCTCTGTAGCAGCACAATAAGTAGGTAGCATGGCTGTTGCCACCTACAAGTTTCCTGTAAATGGTTATGGTTTTAAACAAACCCTTTACTCTAAATATAACACTTTAGTGCAGACCGCTGAAGCAGCACATGGATATTCTTGTCGCATGGTACTTGATAGATCACAGGTTTGTGATTACTGGATAAGGCTTAGCTGAATCGTTTTATTGAGATTGCTTTGGCACACATTTCCTGCTCTATTTCAGCTATCAGATATTAGATTTACTACATTTTCTATGTACCAGGAAATAAAGCAGGCTCTTTGGTCCATTAGAGTCTTTTATTCACGGTGGCGTTCTTAAAAAAGAGAATCAATAACAGCAGTAAGTCTGTCCACTGATGAAAACAAGCCGATACGTTCTGCACAATAACCACATGACCTCACCTAGCAGTGATATAACTTGTCATCACTTGTTGATGAGAACATGTGGATGGCTTTGGTTGAATGATAAGTTCTTGATTATGTTGGCAGCAAAAAGACTGAACAAATGGCACATTGTTGGTCATACTAGCGTGATGACCTACAGAACATTTCTTTAAAAGCCTCAAAGTGCTGTGTCACCTTTCCTGAAATTGGTGCATACACTCCAGGTCGGACTGTGTCATTATCTGTTTATATTGTCAGTAGGGCCACCTGGTGACCAAACGGCTAACTACATCCCAGTGTGTTTCACATAACTTCATAGGTTATTTCAAGTGTGTCTCTTATTGTGGGTCCGGTTGTCTGTAATTAGTGGTTATTTGTTAAAGTTTCATGCATAATTAGGTATTTTCACTGACCTTGTTGTGACCCCCAAAAACTATTTTGAAACTTGGTAGCATTTATTCAGTAGGCATTATTTTTGACAGGAATATAGTCTTACACTTACTTTATATGGTGTAACAGAGACTTTGGTCAAATTTGGATGAATAAATAAGTAGGGCTATACACTTCAAATCGTGATATTGATCACTGCTATTTAAATACGAAATCTGTGCGTGTCTCAGAATGAGTGAGCGGCACAGTTTTGTCTACTACACATACTCAAGCTCACATTGCGCTCATGGTGTTTTCAGCATCTGCTGTCTCACTATATTAGGACATGAACACATGAACTTCACAAGCAGTTACAATCATGTAAAATCAAGCTTTCGTAGAGTAGGTTGTGGGCCTCATCCACTTCTGCTACAGAACTTCTCTCTTAATTCTCACCGCCACCTTCTACTCATCCTTTCTCTCTTCATATTTCCTTTGAATTCCCTAATCTTATCAGTCCTGTCTGTACTTTGTGGATGTCTTTTTGTTCGGCACTCTCTCTCTCTCTCTCCCTATTCTCAGTATTCTATTCCTCTGGTAACTCCTCTTTCTGTTCTCTGTCATTCTCTATTCTTCACGCTTGCCCTGTGTCCTCCAGACTCTTTGGTTGGACAGGATTCTCTTTTGGATGGGCCGCTTCTCTCCCCCCCCTCCACTGGGGGTCTAATACTGGCCTCATCCCCCTCATCTCTCCCTGCACCATCTATGGACCAGTTCACTACTACTGCTTTGAGCAGTGGACAGTACCACCAGGGTAAGAAACAGATGCACAATCACCTCAGTTGCATGTCGTATAAGTAAAAAGACATTGATTATGAATTAGGGTTTTGTTATGTCAAGCAGAAATAGAAACCAATTTTAATCAGTAAAAGGTTTTAGATTTCGCCGAACAAATAAACAAAATTAGCCTACATGCTGAGTCAAATGGTGAAAATTTGTGCTTTGTGCTCAGAATAGACCTTGACAAAAGAAGTACTCCTTGTTTCGCTTATTTAGGACATTTCTTACATTACTTACCTGCTCTTGCTTATCTATACTCATCACTCTCTTTTTCCCTCTCTCAAACTTTCTTCCTAATCTCTTCTTTTTTGTTTTCTCTCTGCCGGTCTGCTGTGGCACTAACCTCTTCCTGCAGCCTCTGATCCAGCTCACCCGCTCTCAGTCGTCCAGTCCTCTGAGACTTGGGACCAAAGCGCAGATAACCAGTTTGACCCAATTCCAGTGCTTATCTCCAAAAGCTCCAGCCAAGGTAAGGGAGTTCAGATAGCAGCAAAAGATTCTGGAAGAGAGCACATGCATCTAATTCACCCCGAAGTGTAGATGAATAGTTGCAAACTTATCAAACAGAAAGTGGTTTTGTACTGTTAGACCCTGGTGTCTCTGACGTTATTGAACAGTTAAGACCTGGCTTTGAGTAGTGAAATAGACTCGGACACACATGCTTTCATTTCTGCATCACAAACTGTCTTCGCCCTGTTTCTCCCCAAAATCAAAAGAAGAAAAATTATCTCGAGACATTTATTTTGCCAAATTCTCAGTACTGTAATATCTTTTGATTGTTGTTATGATTTAGGTCATTTAGGTCATTTTAGGTCATAATGACCGTTTACCCATTATTGTCAATGGTTATTCTCATTAAAGAAAAAAACATACGGAGATAAAATAATTTGTACTTAAATTAATTATTTTTTATTTATATATATTTATTGTATGTGCAATTTGGGTCAATTAGATTCTTTTAAAAGTAATTAATACTTTTAATCAGCAAGGATACATTAAATTGACCAAAAGTGATAGAAAAAAAAAACATTTATAATGTTACAAAAGATTTTGGTTTCAAATATGATGCTGTTCTGTTTCTGTTGCTGTTTCCATTCATCAAAGAATATTTTTCCCCCTTTTTTTTACAAAAATATTAAGCAGCACGGAGGTTTGCAACATTCTACTGTATTCTTGATCAAATAAAACTTTAAAAAATTAAGAATTTCAAAAACATTTTTAAAAAATCTTACTTTTCCTATTTAGTAGAGTAGTGTATTTAAATATTTAAATACAGTATTGTATTTAAATATTTTCTATTTATTTTACTTCATTGTAATGAGAGTTTGAGGGAAAATGTGACTATAAAAATACTGTAAAAAAAAAAATTTGACTTGAATTTTTAAAATTTCTTTATGCACTTTTTTTTCCGCTTTTCTTTTCTTTTGATTTTGGGATGAAATATGACTTTCAAGTAAGAAATTCAAGTAGGTGAGTGTCATGTACTACATAATATATTAAACTTAAAATGTAAACTATGATCTTAAAGTAGCATTACAGCGAATATTATTCACCCTTAAGACTTTAAGCTTTTGGGCGCTTTTGTTTTTCTTTCTTGCCATGCTCTTTAAAATATTCCACTATTCCCACACATAATCCTTACTTTGATGCTGCTCTGTTATCTTTTAGCGTTTTATGCTTTCTCTTTCCTGCTGTTCATCTGGTTTTTGCTTTTTCTCTTTCCTCCTTTCTTTTCTCACCCCTCATCCCTCACTCGCCCTCCGTCAACATCTTCTTTTCATCCTCATTCTTTCCCACACTTGTCATTTCTCACCTCCTTTCCTTTCTCTCTCCCTCGCTCTTTCTATTTTCCTCTTTCCGTCATGTTCTAGGTGGTCACTCGCGCAGCAACAGTGGCAGTTCTGAGACCAGTCTGCCCTCGCTGGCACGCTCCCTTCTGCTGGTGGACCAACTCATCGACTTGTAGAGGAAACAGAGAGAGAGAGGCAAATGAATAGAGAGAGACAGGGAGAGGGCAGCGTGCAATTCTACAAAATTATAGCGAGAGTTTAGAAACATCAGTTTTAAGTAGTCGCATAAACCCTGTCCACCCTTGAGTGTCCTTGCGCACATTTTCCTTTGACATTCTTTTCACATTTTCTGTATGTCTCTCTTCTGCTGATCCATAAACATTCTCATCGCTCTATCATTGATTTGTGCTTCACACTTCAGGATTTCAAAACATGTCAACCAGTGATGATTTATGCCAGCTTTGGAAATGTATGACTTAGCTAGCTAGCATGGGTGATATCATGCTAAAATTCAATGTTCAATAGATTACCGTTCTTTAGCATGAAATTCATAATCTATTTATCTTCGCTTATATGGCATTTCAGAATGAAACAATATTCAATGACAAGTAATGCAGGAAGGGATTTGATTTAATCCATTTCAGTTTAAACGTTTGAGGCTGGTAAGATATTTAACTGTTTTTGAAACAAATCACCAAGGCTGCATTCATTTGATAAAAATAAAGTAAAAACTGCAATATTGTGAAATATTATTATGGTAAAGCTGAATTTTCAGCATCATTACTCCAGTCTTCAGTGTCACACGATCCTTCAGAAATCATTCTAATATGCTGATTTGCTGCTCAAGAAACTAATTTATTGTTATTAGTATTGAAAACAGTTGTACTGCTTTCAAAATCAGCATATACCTTTTGCACTACAGTGGAATTTAAGCTTATAAAACATTCCAAATTTAATGATTTTCAACTAAAACTATATTGCATATGATTAATAACGTCTTAGCAACATGTGAATGTGCAAGGACATAAATGTTTAAAGTCACCATGTTGTTGCTATATTTAACTCCATTTGGTTAATTCTAAAATTGAGATTCTTTGAAATTTCAAATTATAAATAAACGACAGAAAAACTAGTGTGATGCACAGAATGTATCAATATTTTTGAGAAATGTAATTTGAATATATAATGTATAATATATAATTGTAATTAAATGTATAAGAACATAGGAATTACCAGAATGAGCTAATTATTGTTATTATTATTATTTGTGTGTGTGTTTAGGATCATTTTGATGAATAAAGTTAAAGTTATAAAGTTAAAAAGAGCAGCATTTATTTAAAATAGAAATCTTTTGTAACATTATAAATGTCTTTACTGTCACTTTTGACAAACTAAATGCATCCTTGCTGAATAAAAGTATTAATTACTTGAAAAAACAAATAAATTAATAAAAAATCTTACTGACCCCAAACTTTTGAATTGTACTGTAGAGCATGCTAGCAGTGTCTAACATGTTTGAAGTCGTTGCAAGTGTATTGCTGGTAACAAACCACAGTACTCAAAAAGGTGATAGTAACCTTAAAGTGTCTGTGCCATTAAAACAGAAATGGAGCGTTCACATACTTACGCAGAGTATGTTTAGGCCCTCAAAAGTTAAGGTTTCCCGCCCACATAGTTAGATTTAGTGGCAACATTTACAAGCAACATCACAGATAAACTGCTGTAAATGAACACTTGTCGAGGTGTTTCCCTTTGCAGTTATTATAATATGTCACATAGCTGTATTTATCATCTTAAACACTTGGATTTCACTCCTCTATGATGTTCTTTCATCCCATCATTTATTTTTTCAGTCATTCTGTCTCTTCTCCTTAATTCATTCCTTCTTTTACTTGTTAATTTATACCCTATGCTTCTTTGCTTTTTGCTGTCTGACTCTTATTGTGCCCTGTGCTACCCCTATAGTATACATTTAATATTTATAATTTTGATCCAGTTATGAATTGTCCCCTGTAACGACACATAAAGGGTAAATGTTGATGAAAAGAAAAGATGCATCATATTGAGAGTAACTTAAGCTGTGATTGTACAGGATAAATGTACAAACCGAGAATCTGTATAAATGTGTATTAACCTCAAGATAAATGTAATAAGGTAAAGATATGTATCTGTATGTTAGAGCACAAAGTTCTGTCAGTTGGATTTTCTTTCTGCCTGTGTGTTTCTCCTGTGCGCCTGTCATGTGAAGGCTATTTTGGATAAACTTGAATATACAGATAGCGACTATCAGAGTTCTGCGGTTTTGAAAAGATTCCGTGTTCGATAACATTTCATCTATCAAACTCGAAATGATAACTGTAAATAAATATAAGCTTTACCAAACCCTCATGGGCTGTGCCTGTAGGCAGCATTTAAAGGCATTATTTATTTTTATCCATTACCTCCTCGAATAATAGCCTCTATTTTGAATCTTAACCTCTTAAGATTTCAATTTAAAACAGATATGTGTTTGTAAGTTTTCTAAGTTAACTTTGAGTAAATGTGTTTAGACTGAGCCTGTGACGGACTGCTCCTCCTGAGGTCTCGTCTACCATGTGATGTTTACCAGAAATAAAACAATCAATGATACGTTCTGGAGATACTGTCAGAAAATAACTAGTTGTCGACTAAATTGTGTTTTTCAACAGGCAATACAGATTTTTTTTTTGAAAATCTGGATATTGCAACAATGAATATAATTTCTCCTAGTTATGCCTAAATACCATTTCATCTATTTTTGAGTCATTGTGATTCTGATTTGAACGTGAATTGTTCAACTGAATCAGTTCTTTTGTGTTCAAACTGGTTCATAACCGGAGTGTGTTTCCCAAAAGCATCGTTAGCCAACTATGGCTGCTAGTTTCCAACAGTTCAATGTTTCGGAGTTTCCTGAAACCATACTGTAGTTCCAACGAATATTCGCAAACAGCAATGCAGATTTGTGTGGTTGGAACGACAGCCCTCGACCTGTGGTTCAAATAAAGCAAAACAGGGAACAAAAATTGTCAAAATAGTCCTCATGTTCGTTACGGCGGTATTTCTGAGAAAGTGGAGTAAACTGCTGACTGAATGAACCGCATGCATATCCTAGAGGAATAAAGTGTACACCAATTACATACTGCATGTAAACTTGATTTAAAAATGAATGCCTTTCAGTTGTTTTTGTGTAAATTAACTATAAAAAGTTGCGATCTTGAATCGATTATTTAGCAGAAGTTATTACTTGCGCATGACGTCATTAACAACAGTCCAATATTGTTGAACCAACATGGTTCAAATGACAGAGGTGCGAACATGTTACTACTGTTTTAGGAAACAGCTAGTTGAAACTAGCTAGTTAATTTCTCCAACGATGCATCATACTTCGTTAGTCAATCAGCGAATTCCAGTGTTTTACGGGAAACACACCCCTGAATAGTTAATTTGGTCTTGTCTGAATCAAATGAGAAT